CTAACAGTTATCGTCGCAGCTTTCTAGAACACATTAGGCAACCGAAACGAGCTACAAGACCAGCGATGGAACAAGCAAGAATGTGGAAAGCAATGCCACACATTAATAATGTTTCTGAAGCATTTGCTCGTCTGTTACAACCACTGGGTAACAGCGTAACCCACAGACCTGAGGCAACATATGAGGACTAGCCAAGAGACCAAAGGCCGCTCTGTCCTGCGGAAAAACAGCAAACGTCGTCTATTGCGTCCAGTGCAGTTCCTGTAAGGCGAATTATATTGGTGAGACCGTAAAGCCACAACAGGCAGTCAGAAGGATGCATAGACTCTCGTTGGTGGTGGCATATTGAGCGGCTTCTAGGCACACCCTCGCTTTTTTGATGACGCCGAAATCCTATGCCGAGAAATTGACCAAACAGTCGGAGAAAAACTTAAAGCATGGCACTCTGCATCAACTTCCAGCAACCGCTGCCCGATCCTTACGGTGGCTTATCCGGCCTTACGCCTGCAGCTTCATCAACGAAACCGCCAGTAGGAAGTCAGACGAGTCATGGCGACTAGGAACACCACATCGGGCTAAAATGCAGGCGTGCCGGAGCCTACACCAGACACCATGGAACGTGAACCAATACATCCTGTCCGACTTGAACACAGGCTCACATGACAACAGTCTGTGCATAAACACTGATGGCGGAGTTGAACATTCCGATAGGCATGAAGACACAGGTATCGGCGCTGCAACCGCCGGCAAGACGAACACGGACAGGTGCAAACGTGGGACGCGAACAAGGCAGGCGGGACCTGCACAACCGACGCGCTTAATGAAAAACGAGAGCAATGACCGTTGAAATGCGAATACTGCTCTCCCCCTCCGACGAGGTGAGGGTGAGAACAGCCGACGAGATGTCATTTTAACACCTATAAATACTGAGAGGCGTGTGCAAAACCAACCTCAGACGATGTAACCCTGTACGTTTTCGAAACATCAGAATAGTTTGACCATTATTCCGGTGATAGCCTTTTCTTTTCATATATAAACAGAAGACGCCAAAATGCATGCAGCATTTCGACATAGGCGAAACATTGATGATATTTCGCTAGTCGGTATCGACTCAGGTTGTGATACTGATTATCGCGTAGTCTGTGCTGAAGTTTGTTCCGTCATGATAGGGTGCGGGCTTTTTAGGGAGCTTTGTTCTGACCACTAACAAAACGTATGTACTGTAAAAAGTAACTTCTTCAAGAGTATGCCTTTTTATCATTGATTTTGACTGCCTTTATAAATTATGTCTCGTACTTCATCTTACACCTTCTTTAAATTTTATACTCAAAGAAAGGGTAGTTTTTGGTTTGAAAAAAGACCCGGATTTGAATCTCGGGATTTTCAACTCTTATGAATGGGTATGACTGGCTTATGACGGCTGACAAGCCAGAAATGACCTATTCGATCTGATTTTGCTTTGTCAGAGCCATCTCAACATCATATACATATATATGTATACCATTAACCGTATTGGGAACTTTGGGGGCTCAACTGAGAAGCCGAACCCCTCGTTGCTCTATGACGCAGCAGCAGAAACACCGGAGAAAAAATATATAAACAAACATAGGGAAGGCGATCACTTAAAATATAGGTTTCTTTTCCTAGCGTTTCAAATGCATGCAGACTTCCATCATCCGAGGTGCTAGTTGTACCGCGCCTCACAGTATATATAATAAGTGACAAGAGATGCATAATACGGGTTTAAAGGTATTGGAATGAGAGATATAGGCTCATAAGTCGTCGCTTCACTTAATTATACTGTCAGGTTGAGGTCAGTTTAGAAGCCGTCGATCGTACTAAGTGTTTTTTGTCCGTGTGCGGCTGCCTTCAGTACCGGTTGGTGAGGTCAGTTGCCAGTCGCAGCCATATAATGTTCTTTCGAAATAGGAATATAAATGAATATATTCTGACTTAACATGGTTTTGTATGCAATTGGGCCTTTTACATGTAAAAAAAAGGTTAACGGCGAAGGTACTCTCCGTCAGCATCGAGTGCACAAAACCTAGCAGCGATGGTAAACAAGTAAGAAACGGTGAAAGCCGCCAGATGTCTATTTATTCTGAAAAAATACGGCTTTTTTATTAAGAGCCTGCCTTTATGAAGCGTAGAGTGTAAAGGCGTCAGGGCATATATATGGGTTTTATCAACAAATGCTGTCATTTCTTAAAGGAAAATTGCCGGATACTTGGGCATAAAAAGTGCAGGCAACCCATTTTTTGAGGGACCTGACTTTCCAGTGTTTGACTTATCTTCATAAAACGCTCTCAAAGCTGATTCTGTTCATGAGTATTTATAATCTCATGAAACTCTCTCGCGTATACTTGTCCACCGACCGTTCCTGGCATCTTCAATTCTCGGCACTATGCAGTATGTAAAGCGGGCACAAATAAGGGAGAGAAGACATGTGATATTTTAAAGAGTATATGATACTGCAAATTTACGAACACTCAGCTAATAAAATGCTCTTAATATATCCGGCCATGACCTTCAAATTCTGCCTGTAGCGGGTGTCTTTGTCTGGCTGTTGGTGAGTGCATTTTCGTTTACATTTTCATAGGCTTAATTAAAGACTTTGACGATTTAAAATGTGTCATGGTGGTCACTATATTCTCAAATAGCTATGTTTTTTTAATTTGCACAGCTATTCGCGCGTAATAAATTTGGTTGTGGATAAAACACAGCTACAAATTGGAAAACAATAAAAAGTAATGCGCAGGAATAAAAACGTTGTCAGGTTTGAAACCTACATAAAAATTAGTGGTTTTTGTTTTCTAAAAAAATGAAGGGGGTGAAAAATCGTGCGAAACATTTCCAAATGCATATTATCCTTTTGTAAATTTAAAATATGGTAACTAAACCAATTATTTATTAAAAAATGAGAAGAGTCTTGTATCTGAAATGAAATGCATGTAACTACTAAATGGTTGTCGTACTGATCTATAAAAATTAAAAGCATAGCTTTTCGCTTATGTGAAACTGTTTTTCTACAACAATGCGCTTTATTACGGTCGGAGGAATATGTATCTTATTCAGAAACAAATTAATTGAGCTTTTTTTTTCAAATTACAGGTGATTGGGCATAGAAGATGTTAGCAGTCTATGTTCTCTCTGACTCGAAACCCGGGTATTGCCAAAGATTCAGGGTAAGCGATTAAATTAAGTGTCTAGAACCGAATATAAAAACAATTAGTGAAGCTGTTTCATATTCGTCGGTGCAGCGAGTGCTGATCGTGCCATCAATATCTTGTTAATCTTGATTTTCATAGCTAAAACTGATTACACGTAGAAGAGCAGTTCGGCTCATTTCTGAAGGCTTGTAGCAGTACTTTAAGGATCTTTTTGCAGTATAAGACCAGACCATCACCGCACCCATTAAAACCCTAAGCGATGGCCACAGGAACTGACATTTATAATACGCACGTGGATGACCGCTACAAACCATAAAAATCGTGCAATCGGTTCATGTATAACCCCATCTACGTATGTCTTACACTATCCTACGGTAACCTATGATTAATGATTCTCCTCAGAATGCAAAATGTCAGGAAATTAAAATTATTGATCGCTGCTTCTTCTTCTGAACTGCTTTCTTGAATTCGCATATTCACTTCTATCGGCAATCCGTTTGAGCGTGATACGCTGCGATAGGCTCGATGTTGTTGAAAGCTTTGCCCTTCTGCAGTCAGAATGCAGAGCTGACAATGAGCTCCTTATCGTGCCGGTAGGCAAGGGGCGGTCCGCTGTTGAATTGGACGGGACAGACTGCATTCACAAAGGTCAACATTTGTTAACCGATCATCAGTCCTACGCTAATAGGCGAGATCAACACAACTTTGCTGGCAATGGAGAACTCACTTGCAATATCGCCAATAGACCGACGCATGGTGAAAACGCAAGAAACGGCCCTGGCCTGCTTCTGTGGTCTCCCTAAGCTGCACAAAGTGGGCGCGCTCTTCCGGCAAAGCATACCCCTCAAGGGAACTCCAGCCTACGG